GCCACACTAATGGGGCAGTGTACACAGAGAGAGAGAGAGAGAGAGACAGACAGACAGACAGACAGACAGACAGACAGACAGACAGACAGAGAGAGCCATTACTGTGAGGCACTATTCTGGCCAGTGAACAGACAATACAGTGGTGCCCCGCTTGACGACGATAATGCATTCCAGGAAAATCGCTGTTAAGCAAAATCATCATCAAGTGAAAAAAAAATCCCCATTGAAATACACTGAAAGATTCCCATAGAGAAGCGCCAATCAGCTGTTAAACATCACTGTAATGCGAAGCTTCTGTTCGGAAAGCAGCCATTTTGAGAAGGGAGGGAAGCCATTTTGCAGAGCTAGAAAAAACAGGCTCCTAATCAACATAAAGTGAATTTCCCCCATTGGAACCATCGTTTTGCGAACAAACATGAAAATCACAAAACAAAGAACAAATCAATCAGAAAACTACAACAGTGCTAACATGTCCTTGATAGTTCTTCTACCAGTAATGAATATGAGAACAATCAAATATTTGGCAATCATTTTCCCATGTTGTGTCACACAACACAGTGTTCTCTGCAACAGCCACTGAGTTCCGTGTGCATTTCTAATTGTCCAAAGACTTCAGATATCCATTAAACAATCTATATTTATCAGATACTGGCTGAAATCCAGTAGTAAGTCACAACTAAAGAAGCTCTAAGGAGACTCTTGGGACTCACTAGTAGACGAGAGATTCTTCACATGACGTTTGCACACCATACTAACTACGTGTCATAGCGTTCTGAATCTCCAGGATGTTCACCATTCATAGCAGCCTAATGATGGCAGTGGTGTCGAACTGTGGCCCTCCAGATGTTCTTGGACTTCAACTCCCAGAAGCCTTCACCACCACCTCTGCTGGCCAGGATTTCTGGGAGCTGAAGGCCAAGAACATCTGGAGGGCCACAGTTCGACACCACTGCTCTAAGGAGACTCTTGGGACTCACTAGTAGACGAGAGATTCTTCACATGACGTTTGCACACCATACTAACTACGTGTCATAGCGTTCTGAATCTCCAGGATGTTCACCATTCATAGCAGCCTAATGATGAAGCTCAACAGGAGTTTCTATTCTATAATGCAAAATGCTTTCTCAACAGAGAGGAAAGACTCTCTCAGCAGAAACAGTCATTGAGGGAGTTAATGAGGGCAGATAATGTCACTGGTCAGGAATCCAGACCATCAGTTAAAGCAGAGAAGGATGATCTCTGGGGTCCAAAACATCCTTCCAAAATGTGATGATTTTCACACACACACACCCCGAAACAGGAACTGACTATAAGGCACTTCAATTTTTTGATGAGGAAACACTTGGACTAGTCCCAAACACATTAACACAAGGCCCATTCCTCTGCTTTTAGTCACCATCGTCATCATCTTTGAATGGCAGAGCTGGAAGGGACTCTACGGATCATCAAGGCCAGCTCCTGTCCAGGAGGCCCAGTGGGGGAACCGAACTTCCACGGTGCCTCCTGGACAGGGGCTCATTTCAATCATCCATGGAGTCCCTTCCCGCTCTGCTGTTCTAGGATGACAAGGATCAAAAGCAGGGCAGGTCATTTTGTACACAGCTGTCTCAGAAGTCTTTTTCATTCAGACAATTTGAATTTTATTTTGTTTTGCTTTGTTTTATTCTTTTTTTAGCCAAGGGGGGATACAGAAAGGGCTTTGGGGCTCAGAAAACAGTCTTCAGGCCTGCCTGCAGCCAGTGGGCCATGTGGTTTTCCTCTGTCCATTACAGTAGTGCCTTGTGGTAACGCATATCATGCATTCCTACAAATACAGTAAAATCGTACCTTCCGTAGCAGGAAACAGATCTTGTCCCTCGCTCTTAGTCTCTGCCAGTTTTCCTGTTCGTAGCAATACTTCCGCAAAGCTTTCCAAAGGAGTGTATTCATATGTAGTATATGTAACTTGATTCTAAAGAACATGAAATTTTAACAACGTAAGTACTATGTAACTACTAATTTTTGATATATGTGTGATGGTTGTATTATCTTCCTTAATAATAATTGTGTGCCATCAAGTCAACTGTAACTTATGTCAATCCTTTTCAGGATTTTCTAGATAGGGAGTGCTCAGAAGTGGTTTATAATTTCCTTTTTCTGCAGCCACTTCTGGGGACGGTGTAGCCGGCCCAGGGCCACACAGGCTGGCTTTTTTCTCAGGAGGCACAGTGGGAAATTGAACTCCCAACCTCTGGCTCTGCAGCCAGATATCTTCCTTATCTGCTTTTATTAACCATTTATCACCCAGTAATCGCTCAACTTCATGCTCATCAGATCTCATCTGGATAATAAATATTTAGTTAAGACTGTTATTCAAACACATCAGCCTTCCCTGAGTGAAGTCACCTTAGTGGATCACACAGGAGACACAGAGAGAGCAGAAGAAATTGCCAATCTTCATTTGTTAGCACCTTGTTAAGGTGGCTTGACTGCAGCCATCCTAATTTGCAGGAGGTTTGGTTAAAGCAGAGCTACCTTAACAAGCTGCAAACTAAGGTTGGCTGCCAATCCCCTTATCTCTGCCGAGTTCCTGTACGCTTGTTGGCCTCCTAGCTGCTGTAGCACACCAGTTCTGGACCCAAGCCTTTATGAAAATAAATAAATAATTTGGAGATAAAGGGGCACTCAGTAGAAGGGAAGAGACACCCCAGTGAGGGTCCCTCTGCTTTCTCCTTTTTCCTTTCAAACTAGGAAGCTGGGAAATCCAGTTTTTTGTCACCAATTTTATCGGCTCAAGCAATCACACCATTTGAACCAAGGCAAATGTATTCAATTTGTTAAAAAATGTGAAAGTGCAAGCAGCAAAGCGAAAAAAATATGGAGGAAGGGGGAGACCTCCAGGCTGATTTGCACTGACTTGTACATCATCTAGTCAATAAAAAATAATAAGAAGTTAACTCCCAATCCTAGAGCATTTCTCAACTTATTTCTCAATGTAGATGCTGCACAGTCCACAACCATTTATTATTATACAACATTTTCAATATTGAATGTTTCAAATTAGGAAGATGTCTTAAACTTACTTCTGCAAGGTATGGATTCTCTATCAGAGATTCATAGAATGGATGACAGCCTTGCTTTTCGATTGCTGCATTTGCACCAGTGGTGCTTTTTAATGCATCTCCAAACTCTTGGCCCTTTGAGGAACAAAACACAAAAAAGCCCTAATATTAATACAATGTGATCTCTATAGCAAGATTCTCACATTCTGTCAAATATTCAAAGAGATGGCATCACAATTCAATAATGAGGGTAAAGGGGAATCTGAGCTCCACATAAAGTGCAGGTTAGGGCCCCATCCACCTACCCACTCCCCATACATGATGTCTCTACAGCTTTCCCATTTGCCTACACACAGAAAGTCCCTGTGGAGAACAAAGGAACCGCTTATTTAAGTGATCCAGGCCCAAGAGTGGAGCGATTAGCACAGGGTTCTTTCTTACATGTAATGGTCGAAGGTAAGTCAGCGACTTCTTCCACCACTGTCGATCACTGACGGCATGCAGCACAGCTTTTGTTGTCAGAGTGGTATTAGAAAGTACCTTCATGGTCTTCGCCGTCGTCCACTGGAGCAGGTCAGCAGACTGACTAGTAGAAATGCGCGGCTCGACCTGTGAGTTTATACAACACACAACCCATAGGCATTAAACACAAAGCGGTCAGACAGAGAACTTGTAATACAAGCAGGTATAAAACATGCAGAAGACGACCTCTGAAGCACCATCAGCAGCTGAGCTGAATATCTCAGATTAGCCATGCTCCTTGTGCTTGGGTGCAGGGTAAAAGAAGACAAGTTAAAACACAGATACCAAAACTAGTACTGGAAATGTGTTTGACTGTGCTCTTGCTCACTTGCATTAAGCATAATCATTGCGGTTAACGGCCACCTATATTTTAGACTGTTGCCGACCTCTGAAGCACCATCAGCAGCTGAGCTGAATATCTCAGATTAGCCATGCTCCTTGTGCTTGGGTGCAGGGTAAAAGAAGACAAGTTAAAACACAGATACCAAAACTAGTACTGGAAATGTGTTTGACTGTGCTCTTGCTCACTTGCATTAAGCATAATCATTGCGGTTAACGGCCACCTATATTTTAGAGTGCTGCAACCATCAGAATAGGGATGTGGTGGCGCTGCGGGCTAAACCGCAGAAGCCTATGCTGCAGGGTCAGAAGACCAAGCAGTCGTAAGATCGAATCCACGCGACGGAGTGAGTGCCCATCGCTTGTCCCAGCTCCCGCCAACCTAGAGGGGCGAAAGCATGCAAATGCAAGTAGATAAATAGGGACCACCTCGGTGGGAAGGTAACAGCGTTCCGTGTCTAAGTTGCACTGGACATGTGACCACGGAAGATCGTCTCTGGACAAACACTGGCTCTATGGCTTGGAAACAGGGATGAGCACCGCCCCCTAGAGTCGAACACGACTGGACAAAAATTGTCAAGGGGAACCTTTACCTTTACCTTAACCATCAGAATATGCACTAGAGTTTCAGGTTTAAGACGGTAATCAATTAATTAATAAAGGCTAAATAAATGTTAAAAGCTAATATTAGAGCTTTGTTTCATTTGCAATGGTTTCAGGAAGTTAGAATACAAAGCTATAAGCTACTAAAAGTTAAAAAAAAGTTTGATTCTCAACTGATGCCATTATAGCTGCCTGACATTATAACTCCAAATGGATACCACAGATATTAAACAGGCCTGTGACTTATAAAAGGTCTGTTGCAATTGCATTCTTATCATGTTGAAGACTGTACTTTCCAGTCATGTGGGAATTCCCCTCCCCCAGTAATTTTAAAAGACTCCTTTAAAGACTCTTGGGTGCCATGGCCTGTGACTTATAAAAGGTCTGTTGCAACTGCATTCTTATCATGTTGAAGATTGTACTTTCCAGTCATGTGGGAATTCCGCCCCCCCCCCCAGTAATTTCAAAAGACTCCTTTAAAGACTCTTGGGTGCCATTCCAAAATAAGAGCAAAGCAAAACAAAGCTGCTTATATACTGTCCCATAGCGCTTCAAGCACTCTCTAGGCAGTTTACAAGTTAATTATGCAGGCTACACATTGCCCCTCCCCCCAGCGAGCTGGGTACTCATTTTACCGACCTCGGAAGGATGGAAGGCTGAGTCAACCTTGAGCCGGCTACCTGGGATTTGAACCCCAGGTCGTGAGCACAGTCTCGGCTGCAGTACAGCAGTTAAACCACTGTGCCATGAGGCTCAAGAGCTCTTCCTTTTCCCAGGGCAGTTTGATTACTGAGCTTCTCAGAACAGATTATTGGCTACCCATGCACCACAAAGTCTCCTTCCATTCATAAATGTCCATAATGCCTTTTATTTCCTTCACCCTTTCCAACACTCTTCTCCAAAATCTTGCTCCTTTTCCAGACATATATATATTAAAATAAGCTGTTTTTTGGGGGATTTTGGGGTAGAACCATCCCTAAAATGAGGAACAAAAACAACTTGGGTCTTTCAAAAACTAATCTTTCAAAAACTAATCTCATGGTTTAAGAAGAGGTAAATAGATAAAGGGCTTGAACAACCAATGTAAAATCCATATTTCATATTCACTTGTGTTCATAAGCAAACATTGAGATAAATTGCTCAGTTGAGTCCCAGATTCTAATCAGGAAGTAGGTCATGGAAGAGTGGACTATGTGCTCCTTACATCAATTATCCACATATTATGTTGGAATATTATGGCCATGTGCAGTCTTACCAAATATCCACTGATTCAATGGGTCTACTCTTGTTTTGACTTACTACTGAATTTCAGCTACTGTCTAATCTGACCTTAAATTTATCAAAAAATAGTGCAAAAGGTATGAAAAGGTCCTTCTAGGAACTCAAAATATACCTTTTGGTACCATTTAACTATACATTAAATGACGTCTTAACACCTTAAATCAGGGATCAGGGGACTTTTTTTACCTCCCCCCCCCCTAATTTATCAAAAAATAGTGCAAAAGGTATGAAAAGGTCCTTCTAGGAACTCAAAATATACCTTTTGGTACCATTTAACTATACATTAAATGACATCTCTTAAGAAACACACCTTAAATATTCTCTCACTTTCTTACACTGTTCATCTGAATTAGAAAGATACCTGCTGAGCAGGAATGTGATCTCGCAAAACCATCTTGGATATGAGAGCATCAATATTGGGGCTCTGCTCATCCTCATTACCCCCAGGAGTTTCATTTTTACCCCATTTGGGGTAATTTACCCCTGTTCCCTGACCACTGCCTTAAATATTCTCTCACTTTCTTACACTGTTCATCTGAATTAGAAAGATACCTGCTGAGCAGGAATGTGATCTTGCAAAATGTCTTTTTTTTGTTTTAAACATTTTATTAGTTTTCCGGTCTATCTACATTGTTTTGTGCTTATCAGACATCGTGTTACATATTTTGCTTATAAAAGAAGACAAGTTAAAACACAGATACCAAAACTAGTACTGGAAATGTGTTTGACTGTGCTCTTGCTCACTTGCATTAAGCATAATCATTGCGGTTAACGGCCACCTATATTTTAGACTGTTGCAACCATCAGAATATGCACTAGAGTTTCAGGTTTAAGACGGTAATCTATTAATTAAAGGCTAAATAAATGTTAAAAGCTAATATTAGAGCTTTGTTTCATTTGCAATGGTTTCAGGAAGTTAGAATACAAAGCTATAAGCTACTAAAAGTTAAAAAAAAGTTTGATTCTCAACTGATGCCATTATAGCTGCCTGACATTATAACTCCAAATGGATACCACAGATATTAAACAGGCCTGTGACTTATAAAAGGTCTGTTGCAATTGCATTCTTATCATGTTGAAGACTGTACTTTCCAGTCATGTGGGAATTCCCCTCCCCCAGTAATTTTAAAAGACTCCTTTAAAGACTCTTGGGTGCCATTCCAAAATAAGAGCAAAGCAAAACAAAGCTGCTTATATACTGTCCCATAGCGCTTCAAGCACTCTCTAGGCAGTTTACAAGTTAATTATGCAGGCTACACATTGCCCCTGGGTACTCATTTTACCAACCTCTGAAGGATAGAAGGCTGAGTCAACCTTGAGGCGGTTACCTGGGATTGAACCCCGGGTCGTGAGCACAGTTTTAGCTGCAGGACAGCAGTTAAACCACTGTGCCATGAGGCTCAAGAGCTCTTCCTTTTCCCAGGGCAGAACAGATTATTGGCTACCCATGCATCACAAAGTCTCCTTCCATTCATAAATGTCCATAATGCCTTTTATTTCCTTCACCCTTTCCAACACTCTTCTCCAAAATCTTGCTCCTTTTCCAGACATATATATATTAAAATAAGCTGTTTTTTGGGGGATTTTGGGGTAGAACCATCCCTAAAATGAGGAACAAAAACAACTTGGGTCTTTCAAAAACTAATCTTTCAAAAACTAATCTCATGGTTTAAGAAGAGGTAAATAGATAAAGGGCTTGAACAACCAATGTAAAATCCATATTTCATATTCACTTGTGTTCATAAGCAAACGAGATAAATTGCTCAGTTGAGTCCCAGATTTTAATCAGGAAGTAGGTCATGGAAGAGTGGACTATGTGCTCCTTACATCAATTATCCACATATTATGTTGGAATATTATGGCCATGTGCAGTCTTACCAAATATCCACTGATTCAATGGGTCTACTCTTGTTTTGATAAATTTCAGCTACTGTCTAATCTGACCTTAAATTTATCAAAAAATAGTGCAAAAGGTATGAAAAGGTCCTTCTAGGAACTCAAAATATACCTTTTGGTACCATTTAACTATACATTAAATGACATCTCTTAAGAAACACACCTTAAATATTCTCTCACTTTCTTACACTGTTCATCTGAATTAGAAAGATACCTGCTGAGCAGGAATGTGATCTCGCAAAACGTCTTGTTCTTGGCAATTTCCAAGACTCTTCACTGAGACTTTCCTTTTCATTAGTTAAGATTTCCCAGTTTCCGTTAAAACAAGAAGGAAGGATGGAACTAACTTCCAAGAAACTCCACAAGATTTCATGAGCAAGGTGGTGATGGAGACAGTCTTGTGCAGACAACTCTTGGGGCAGAAAGAGTTAATCCCCCACCCGCTTTTCCTCTGACAGTGAAAGGCTATCAGATGTACATCCCTAATGTTAATTGTTAAAAATATTAAAATAAATGATAACGATTTGAGGTTCTGAAGTTTTGGAGGAGAAATGCATTAACTAAAACAGGCTACTGTCATTATTTTTCTTTTAAACAAGTAACACTTCTATGTGTAACAGTGTGAAGCTTCACATTATTAATAGTAATAAGAGGATGTAAAGAGAGGACCTCCTGCCAACCACTGAATAATCATTTGGAAATTTTAGTTCTTGCTTCCCTAACGAAAGGACTACATGCTGAGCAAAATACAGTATGGCAAAAAAATTTCCAGTCTACTTTAAAAATAAATGCAAAAAAGATGCACTGAGCTGTATTTAAAGGAAGGAAGGAAAGAAACCCCTTTTGGATCTCACTTGATACACCTGGAAAAAAAGGCTTGTAAATATGAAGTCTGCGGTGTACTTGCTTTGTTGGGCTTAAGACTGTTCAGCCAGTATGTACTACAAAAATAACCATAATGCTGACTCAATGTATCTTCTTTACTGGAATTTTAAAAGCAAGCACAGTAGTCTCATTCTTCTTTTTAAAGGACTGTTCCACTGGTCTCCTTACTTTTCTTGCTGGGGAGACAGAAAGGAATACTCCTGGGAAGAGGGTTGGGTTGCAAACCAGAGCTGAGATTGGCATGATCATGCTTTTGGCTGTGGATACATAGCTCTAGCTGTTCCTCAACGAATGGTTTAGCAATTAGGTGCCTTGACAGAGGCCAGAAGCTTTGGTGAGTACAAAGCAATTTCCTACACAAACTCATTGCCATCAAAACCACAAATGGAAAGGTGGAAGTTGACTACCATTTTTTTGTAGAAATGTAGAAAGTATGCATTTTTCTCTCCCTATAATTTCTCAAGTATTATGTCACATTCTGTGGAACTAATTTCTTAAGCACAAGCCTACATAGCAGGGTAGGGTGTCCACAGTGGATGATGTCTTTGTAGTTAATCTAAGAAGCACCGTTGCCCTAGATATATTTTACTCTGTACAGTGTCACTGCAGCTAGAGCTGTTTGTCTCTCTTCCACCATTCAAATGGCAAAATGTGTAGCACAGACAGATGCAATAAATTCATTAATTACGTTGTCTGAAACAATGTTTTGTTCGCGGGTTTTGTGCATTTGTGTGGCCTGTTATGCTAAGAGCCACTGACACCTGTTGTACATGAAGAACACCTAACACATCAACCCAACAGGCTGGTGAGAGCATCTTCCAAAATAGCAACAAAAGTTCTGTCTATTTATTATTTTCTTCAGCAACTATTTCAATGTGAGAAAAAGTGTGTTTATTAGCATATTATATATTTTCATTAGAGAAGAAGCAAGCTGCATTTTTTGTCAGTATAGTATTTGCAAACAAACATTTGTAAACAATCAGCTAAATCAATCATGTATTTAAAGGCAGTAGCTACATGCTGCCATTTGTTAAGTGCCTTCATGTGTTAATGAGGCTGCGCCCAGTTAATTACATTTCCAAATCACCATAATAAATAAAATTCCCATTTTTAGACAAAAAGATACACAAGTATTAAGCAGTTAAGCATAAAATTGCCCCCAAATTTATGTGTCACAATCTACTGCAGTTATTACTTTTACCATTAATGAAGAACACATACCATTTTATGACAAAGCATTATGTTTTCATCTTATAATAAAGACTATAATCTTGCAAAACACTTCCAAATACAGATATAACCACTTTTAGAGGATTTTAAGTTTTGTTTTCACACCATTAGCTATTGAAATAATTTGAACACATGATAGTGGCTTAAGTTCAAACTTGGAAAGATGCACGTAAAGAGGGAGTTTACCTCCTTTTTATGCAGGTTTGTTAAAAAAAACACAGCAAGCCCACATACAAAGCAGAGTATCTGCCCTTTTGTGTCAAATATGTACAGTCAACAGCAGAGTCTGGGAATATTACTTCTGAAATGACTGTACCCCCGCAATCTCAAAACACAATCCAATGCTTGGGAAAAGGACAGTTCGATAAATTAAATCAGAATGAGTGGCATCCTACAATATAGCTCCATTATTCACTTAAAAACTTTACATTTGTTCACACTTGAATTAGCTGGCCTGAACACTATATCGACGGACAGAGCAAGCATTCTATCCACTTATTAACTACCGTTACAATAAATTAAAATGGATTAATATGTATCCAGTGTGGACTACGATTCAGGGGACCTGGGTTCAAACCTCCACGTGGCCATAGAAACTCATGCAGGGATGTGTGGGTGGGTGTGTATGTGAAACTAATAAAATAATTCCTTAAATATTTCACTTACCTTGAATGTCCTCCTAGGGTTGCTATAAGTTGGTTCTGACTCAATGGCAACTAACACACAATGGTTAAAATCCTGTTGCTTTGTATAGTACATTGCACTACCGCAGGCCCACTGAATCAGTGGGAATTTGGTGAGTCAGCTCCTCTGCCAGTTACCTTGATTCAAATGGGTATACTCTAGTTATGACTAGAGTTTAGAATAATAAGTTACATTTAGAGTAGGTTCATATGAATCAATGGGCCAATTCTAATATGACTTGCTATGCTAAGCAACAGGATCTCAGCATAACAAAAAAGGAAACAAAACCCAAATGCAATTTAATCTTAAACACTTGCTATGCTAAGCAACAGGATCTCAGCTTATAAATTACTGTGAGGCATAACAAAAAAGGAAATAAAACCCAAATGCAATTTAACCTTAAACATATAAACATACTAGTTTTTTGAGCTGTGCCGTCTCCAAGATTTATTTGACTGGCCAACATTTAAAAAAAAACTGAACAGGCAATTCATTTACCTTTCTAATTCAGAGTGCTACAATTGGAAAATTGCCAAACAACAGAACTTCAGGAGACGCCACCCATTCTGTACAGGAAATAAGGTGCCATTTTATTCCCTTTGACAACAATTGCACTGTACAGTGGGGGGCACTAGATCTCTCATAATCAACAGTTCAGAGATCCCAGCATTTATTTAACAAATTATGGAGGGTCATGAGTTCTCTGCTCCTGACAAGGGCACATAGCAAGTTTCTAAATCATCGGGGATCCCCTCTGTGCAAAACAGGCCTCATTCTTGAGGCCCTCCTCTCCAATACACAGATAATCAGGCATGTCTTTGTTGTTGCAGACCTGAGCCTTTCTTAGCCCACCAGGACTGGTCTGGTAGCACCCCAGGGGTGAGAGTGGGGACTCGAAGTGGGGAGGAGAGAGTTGTTCTCCCCCCCCCCCAATTTCTGCTGGATTCTGCTATTCTGCTAACAGGAATTCAACATTGCATAAGGCCCATGAAAAGCAAGAGGCAAGAGACTCCAGAAGCAAGGTGGTTGAAAGAGAGACATGAAGTTAGTAAGAAGTGAAGAATGATAAAATGAAAAAAACTCAGGTACCTAAAGGAACAGGAGGCAGAGAGAAGAAAGGAATACATGAGCAATTAGAAATTTGTACCTCACCTCATGTCCATCTATGGGCCAACTTTATCACTCCAAAAGCCTACGGTGAGTAGAAAAAACACCCACTGTGCCTGTGGCAATAGCAGTAATAATAATCATTCTTACCTCTGGAGGAGACTCGGCTCTGAATCCAGCTGAGGATCTGGAGATATTTGTGTTCTCTGCTTTTTCTGAAGGCCTTATCTTGTAGTTGACTGCATGATAAAGAATCTAAGGAATAATTAATATTATATCTGTTAAATTATTTATTTTGTGTAATCTGTGACACGAAGGCACTGTTTTCTCCACAGAGTGCTTATTAAAACGCAGTTCACGCAACATCCAGGGCATTGAGAAGTTCACAAAGAGTTCTCTGTTTTCTTAAACTGTTCTGCATTTTGAGCAAAATTAAAGGAACTCAAATTCCTGCTCCAGGCATGTATATAAAAGAACAGAATATAGGTTACGGATGTAAATCTTTGCTTATTTCGTTCTTGCAGTTCCTAAACAAAAACTATCACAAGTCTTCTCCCCACTGGGAAAGGGTATGAGAATTTTTGTCTCTTGATTTTCTTATTTTCTTATTTCAGCACTCTTCTTTTTTTGAAAAAAAAATAGTATTTAGCATTTTAAAAAACTCTGTTCCACACAAATCACAAGATTCTAGACAAAAAGCAAGAGGATTTTTCTGTTTTGTTTTTAAATAAAACACACAAGGCTTTTAATGCACCATATAAGGTTTTCCTAATGCTGCTAGCAAAAGAAGGTGCTGGCCCTTTCACAGAGTGAAAACTCTCATAATGGTTGACTTTTTTGAATTCTTCAGTGAGATGTCTTAATGTGTCATAACATCTTTCTGCATGGAGGATGAGAAGATTTGTGAGAATTCATTCCATGCTTAGCACAGTTTGTGTCAAAGAGGTGGCAATCAGAGACTACACTTACTATAAAAAGGGCAGATGAATATGGAGGGAGGACTGTGGAATACATCCCTTGAATTGCATCAGAAGGATGAAATCCTTCCAGAAGATGAGAAAAGAAGAAGGAAGGGTTACAATGGAAGAATATAATCCTTATTGAAAACAAGCGACAAAGCTTTCAAAACATATCCAGCGATGGAACCATGACTGGGCAAAAATGTCTTTCTGCTCTGTCCTATACATAATTGTCTGGTTGCTGGAGATATGTTGGACAAGGAACCAACATCCCTTCTAATTTTCAGCTCTGCCCCTTTCTCTCTTGACTCCACCCCTCACATGCAACTCCGCCCCCATGGAATTCCATCCTTACTGGAATCAAAGGGGCTGGAAATACTTGCTGTGAGTGCGCAGAGGAGGAATGCTGTGTGGAGAGGGTGGAGTTGTGCATGCACATCTTAGACACTTCCTCAGAGATAGTGCAATTGGCTGAAACACTAACTAAGAACGATGCTGCTGGGAAATCAGATTCTCACCATATGACAGGTGACTACAGTCAGCAGGGGCGAGGAGAAAAATAAAAGTATGGAACTGATGTTTCCCCTCTCAACTTCACACCCCAATGTGCGCTATTTTTTTTCTTTAGACTCCTGCTGAAAGGCAACAACAACAACAAAAGGCAAAACCAAAAAAATTTCTTTCTTTTTCCTTGTTGTCTGTATTTTGCTAGAACTACTTCTGAGGATCATTGGAATAAGATCTGAATTACTGTGTAATAAAATGAATTAATATTATATTGATATTAATTAAAAACACTAGAACTACTGCATGTTCAAGAAGACAAATGAAACGGCATACAAAAATCTGGCTCAGTTCTAGTATTCAGGTATTTTCTTAAAAGCCAAATACACTAATGTAGACATTCCAGTAGGACAAAAAAATTTGCTGCAGAGTTTAAAAATAAAAATGAACAGAAGGCTTTAAAAAAAGTTTAGAAATTCAAGACACACCTCAGTTTGCAGAGCACTGCTTGCTGCCAGCAGCGATTCTATGGCACCTGGGGGACAATGTGTCAAAGCATAGGCTATAAGCTCCTGCCGAACAGCCATATCCTGGTAACCTTCTGATTGCCCTAGCTGGCTGCAGACGTCCCAGCTTTTCGAGTACCCTGATGAGAATGTCACAGAAGAGCATGTTACAGAAATGACTACAGAATTGAAATTAAGTCTAGAGAATGCATGACCAAAGTTACAGCCAAAAAAGCATTTCCTATATGAGGAGCATCAAACATAAGGAAGAAAAACTTCTGGTTACCAAAGCTGATCCACCTTCTGCAACAGTAACACTGATTCTGTACATTAAGAATATATTTTAAAAGTCAGAAACTTGACCACATCTGTGTATTAACTGCACACAGGGCCAATTCAGCCCCATATTTAGTCTTTCTGGATGATACCTCAACGCCACTAAACATTCCCTGTTTATTTATTTAAAATATTCTTACTCCGCCTTTCTCTTTAAAAGGACCCAAGGCAGCTTACATCAGTAAAAGGCACTATTTAAAAGCTAAAAACAGTAAGCATACAACAAAGTAAAAAGAATCAAACCATTACCAGGCCAGCCTGACGTCCTGTGGGAGGGAGTTCCAGAGTCTGGGGGCAGCAACAGAGAAGTCCCTAAACTATGTCCCCCTCAGATGCACTTGTGAAGGTGGCAGGACCAAGAGAAAGGCCTCCCCTGATGATCTTAACAGCTGAGCCAACTCACAATGGGAGAGATATGGTCCTTGAGATAGTTTGTGCCCGAGCCATTTGGGGCTTTAGAGGTTAAAACCAGCATTTTGAATTGTGCCCTGAAACAGATCACCAACCAGTGGAGCTGCTATAATGATGGAGTTATGGGATCCCTGTGATCAGCCCTGGTTGGCAAATTGGCTGCAATGTTTTGGACCCCCTGAAGTTTCTGAAAACCTTCCAAAGGCCCCATGCAGAGCACGGTACAGTAATCCAGGCAGGATGTAACTAAGGCATGCATCACTGTGGCCAGATCAGCCCGTTCAAGAAACGGGAGCAGCTGGCGCACTAGTTTTAACTGTGCAAAAGCAGTTCTGGTTGCCACTGAAACCTGGGCATCCAGCCCAGAGATGAATCCAGGAGCACCCCCAAGCAGTATGCCCGTGTATTCAGAGGGAGCGTAACCTCATCCGGCACAGCCTGCCACCTTATTCTTTGGTTTAGGGTTCCACTGCCTAGAAGCTCCTATGTCTTGTCTGGGCTAAGTTTCAGTTTATTCACCCTCATCCAGTCCATTACTGACACCAGACTTTGAACGAAAGCTGAAACAGCTTCCTCAGATTTAGATGGAAAGGAGAGATAGTACATCTACGTACTGGTGACACCGAACCCACAAAACCCCGGATAACCTCTCCCAGTCGTTTGTAGATGTTAAACAGCACAGGAGACAAAACAGAACTCTGAGGGACTCTGCGGTCCAAGCAAGAGCCAGGACTTCCCCCGACACCACCTTCTGAGTTCTCTCCTCTAGGAAGGACTGAAGACAGTGATACGGGAGGATATTAAGACTATGATTTAACATAAGTATTACCACCATATGTACCAACAAGACTTGGGTATCCTATATACCAGCTATGTACCAATACTATGTAAACACTGTATTTGTAGCACAAATGTACTTTATCTCAATTGTACTTTATACTTGTACTCTGTATTTCTCTAATGTTCTACCCTATTAATGTATGCCTTTCCAAGATGGTCACGTAGTCCACATTTAAAAAAACCCTTCTGCCGGGGAACAACAAAGACCATTCAGGCCTACAGAGATGACCATACCTGATAGAGTCTTTTTGGCCCATCCAAGGGCCATCTAAATAAACAAAGAAACCCCTAGCCCAGTGGTTCTTAACCTTTGTTACTCGGATGCTTTTGAACTGCAACTCCCAGAAACCCCAGTCAGGACAGCTGGGGGTGAAGGCTTCTGGGAGTTGCAGTCCAAAACTCCTGAGTAACCAGTGCCCTAGCCTACACCAGGAACTGACATTGTGTTGGCCAGTAACAACATCATTAAACATTGCCTCTAAGTCCCACCCCAGAGAGATGGCCCAGCAGGATACCATGGTCAATGGTATCAAATGCCACTGAGAGGTCCAGCAGAACCAACAGAGGCACACACCCAATGTTCCGTTTCTGGCTTTAGTCATCTACCAAGGCGACCAAAGCCATCTCTGTCCCATAGCCCAGGCCTGAAGCCAGACTGAAATGGATGCAGATAATCTATCCCATCAAGGAACCCTTGGAGGTGCGAAGCCACAACCCACTCTAGCACCCTGCCCAAGAACTGAGTATCATATATTGGCTGATAATTATCCGGTATCCACAAAATAGGCCTTCCAAATGGGCCCTAGCCCATGTCCAGTCACCCTACAGAATACATATTTATCTCTGAAACCCAGGTACAAACTTGCTTTGGTTAAAAAAAACCCCAATGCTTCAATACGCAACCACAAATCACTGAAATTGCTTAGCTTTACCACATCTGAAAAATACCTGACATTAACAGCAAGTTATTATAGCTTTAAATTCTATTTTTTACCGACCGAAATGCAAGAGAAAAATCAGCATTTTTACAATATCAGAACATTCATGAGATCCTTTTGGGTGTAATACGCCACCTGAAGCCATAAGTTCCTGGCAATGCATATTTGCTGCTTTGTAATCCTGAAATTTGAGAGCTTGTTCCACTAAGAGAATTAAAACTTGTCCTTTTCTCTCCATCTGGTCATCACCTAGGGCGAGGGAAAGAGAGATTGAAATATAAATATGAACATCTGGTTAATAAAGTTAAATAAAAAATATTGAGAAGGCACAATCAGTTACAAAAGCAGAATTCTTAAAAAACAGGCAACTTTAATTTAAGAATAGAGAACATCATCTGTAATAAGCACACTAGATACAAACCATCCAGTTTATTTCAAATGGACATGCTAAGCTTTCATACAGAATTTATTCATTTCTCTTTCACTAAGCTGACACCACGTATATGAGTTATCCAGAAGAGGAAAAAATCTTTAGTTTAACACAAAATGACATGGTTGAAGCTATTAACACCCAATACAATGAAATTCAGGCCACAGATGATTATTCTTCACACAACAAACAGGCCCATGGATGTACAGTATTCTTTTTTTTTACTCCAACTAAAAACTATAGCATAATTCTATTTGCCACTCTATTCCCCATATAGTACATTCCCCATATAGTATATCCCCAACATACGGAAAGAGGGGAAATGAAACTAGTGATGTGTTCATGGATGTGTTGTTCTTATAACTCCAAATCCCAGAATTCTTCAAGACTCCTCCATGCAGAATTCTGGGGATTCCAGCCAATAAACATATACCTGCAGATACCTTCACTCCATGAACCTCCATAGGGCTAAGGTCCTCTTGGCCTTCTTCTAAGCCTTCATTTCCTGCTGCAATGTTTCCTGGGTGTGGGAGTTTCTTGTGCATGCAATCTTGCATGCACTAACACTGGGTATCAATGGCAAGGGAGTTGACAGCTGAAGTTGATTGTCCTTTGCCACTAATTTGATTGCTAATGCTTTTTCCCACCATTGTCACTTGGACAATCCCTTCTTCCTGTTTGTTTGCTCTCATAGCTCTCCTCTTCTTCCTTGTTTATCTTCTAAGAAGCAGCCATGCAAGCTCTCTCCATGTCAGAAGACTCCATTTTACCCCTCTTTTCACCCCCTTCTGACAGTAACGACAGATCGCAACTGTGAGTAAAGATACATTTTCGACTTAAAAGATGCTTTTAAAGTGACAGAAAAAGTTAGACTGACTGTGCAGCCAGGGATGTTTTTCTAAGAGCTGAAGGAGGTACAATTGAATCTGAGTACTTAATCTTTTATTTTAATTATTGTTCTCCAGGTACCCACTAAGGCAGTAAATTGACACCCAATTATTTCCATTTGAAAGGAGTGTGGGCATATATGGCTGTAGGTGAAATGGTTTTTTTTCTTAATTGAGTCTGAGTGGTTGCTCAAGATAATTTAGGGTATGTGGTGCTGGAAAATGGGACTTCTTTCCTTGTGCATATTTTACAAAAGCTCAGGTGGCACAAGTATTGGAATTATTTTCCCAGTTTCTAACCTCTCCGTATTCTTTCATTTCACCTCTTGTTACAAGGATGTTCACTGATATATTAAGAGGAACTGTCAATTCCAGCATAACTAGTGAAGCTTCTACAGCTCACAGCTTGAACTATTTTTCCCCCTGAACTTCTCTATATTTAACAAAGGAGACATGTCAAGTCCTACCCGCTGTAGATTTCAAGCATCACTTTTAATTCTTCCACTCAAGCAACCTCACTGACAGTCTCACAGCAATTGGTTTGAGAAGTAAAAATTTAAGGTTTTAAAAAGTGAAATTGATTCCTAATGATATGCTCTGTGCTTGCAATGTCTGACATACGGTTTAAGAAGTTAAACTGCCCGATTAAAAAGATGTGTGCCTTAACCAACATAACTGTCTTCTCCTTCTTCATTATCATTGCTGCATAACACAGGTCGTAACAAAGCCATACCTAGCAATTTGGCTAGACAGGACAATCAGCGCCGTCTCCCACCCACACCGCCCTGATATCTACACCGCAAGCCCCCTCCTGGTAAAAGGAGAGAATGTGGTGAGCTTATTTTAAAAAGAGGAAGGGAAAAGGGCCAGGAGATGTTACCATTTGTCTTCTTAATTTTATTTTTTATTTCCCTGACGTTTATTTTCAGTAGTATCACCTCCAGACGCCAGGAAAATCACCCCGAGTACCCTCTAAATTTTGGTGTTGTATGGCAAATCTCCAATTAATTGTTCCATCCTGTTTGTGGCCCCAAATCATAGTGACAATCTGGGCTATAAGCCCCACCTTGTCTGTTCTTTGAAGGGCACCGTGTTGACCCTCCCTCTGTAGGCCTCTGTATACTCTCATATACATCTGCTGCATAGGATGGGAAACCATTTAGGGCTACAATGGGGAAGAAGGCCATGCTTCAGGAACAGACCTGTGCAGTGTTAGCTTCCACATGAGGTGTTTCACATTGTTTAGTTTGATAAGAAACGTATCAAGCTTCCCATTTTAAACAAAATTTAAAAATTGCCCTCCTTTCACACAAATTACATGTCTCTGGTTTTCAGTTGGGTACCTAGTGTGATGTAGTGAGTAGAGGAATGGACTAGGACACTGAATGCCAGGGTTCAACTCCCCACTTGGCTATGGAAACTGACTGGGGGAGTGGAGTTGGTAAACACTACTAATAACTGTGTGCCTTCAAGTCAGTTCACACTTATGGTGACCTTTTCCAGCGTTTTCCAGGTAGAGTACTCAGAAGTGGTTTGCCATTCCCTTCTTCTGCGGTGCTCTGAGACTCTGTAGCACTCCTTAAATATTTCCCTTACCTTGAAAACCCTATTAGGGCCACTATAGCTGGTTCCAACATGACATTACCTAACTAACCAGTTTTCAGCTAGTGGGAAATGGTGGAACGTTATCTCTTCCACTACCTGTTTTCCCGAAAATATGGCCTAACAGGAAGCTTTTCCTGATATTCAGCCTAAATATGGCTTCCTGTAACTTGGGCCCATCAGTACAATTCATGCACTCTGGGATGATTCAGAACAGATTCTGCCCTCCTCTATGTGACAACTGATCAAGTATTTAAAAAGTGCTACCCTGTTTCTCCAAAAATAAGACCTAACCCGAAAATAAGCCCTAGTATGATTTTTCAGGGTGCTCGTAATATAAACCCTGCCCCCAAAATAAGCCCCAGTTAAGTGAAACCCCGCCCTCTACCATTGTGCAGCAGCCAGAAGATGATGACGTGATTGCATTTGAATAAATGTAGATTGCTGTATATGGGAAAAAAAAAATCCCCTGAAAATAAACCCTAATGCAGTTTTTGAAGTAAAAATTAATATAAGGCCCTGTTTTATTGTGGGGACAACATGTTATGTAGCAATCACAGAGGCAATGAAAGTCACCAAGCATCTGATACCTTTCTCTTTTATGTCCTGAGCTGGAGACTGCTGAATGCTGGAGATACTTTAATTTGTCCCAGATTTGGTGTTATGCTTTGAAAATGCACCATAGAATCATGATGAAGAGAGGGAAAGGATGGAAGGGAAACAAGAGAGAGAGGAAGGAGTGGTCATGTCCACTACCGCTCCCCTATCTTCAATCCAAACCTTCACCTAGCACAAATGGGTTCCTTATGTTATGTACATATATTCCAGATTACTGGGTGGGTAGAGATACTGCCCTGGTAAACAGCTACCAGGAATGAGAACCAGGAAGTGATGAGATGGCTAAATGATCCTAGGATCATTTTCAATAGCATTGCTTTGAAGTGTGGTATGTAACTTTGGGCGATCACTGCATCCACATGCAAAGAGTGACCACACGGCATCTGGTGTCCCTACTTAACCAGCCCTCCCTCCCTCCCTCCTTCCCTTCCTTCCAAGGGAAAGAAATAAGGAAGGAAAGGAAAAAATAGAGAGGGGGGAGAAAAAAACCACTCTCCTCACCCTTTCCTGTCTCCTCCTCCATTCTTTGCTTCAGCTGCTTTATGATTGTGCAAAATCATAAAGTGAGACAGGCACACGGCATCTGGTGTCCCTACTTAACCAGCCCTCCCTCCCTCCCTCCTTCCCTTCCTTCCAAGGGAAAGAAATAAGGAAGGAAAGGAAAAAATAGAGAGGGGGGAGAAAAAAACCACTCTCCTCACCCTTTCCTGTCTCCTCCTCCATTCTTTGCTTCAGCTGCTTTATGACTGTGCAAAATCATAAAGCGAGACAGGGAGAAAGAGAGAGGGAGAGAGGAAGCTTTCAGGGTCTCTTCCCCCCCCCCATGTCTCGCATCAGCACTGTCCTGGGACTTTTTAAAAAATTGCTTCCTCTCTCTCCACCTCTGTGGGGGGAGTGGGAGGAACCTTTCATTTTCCCAATACTGTCAAGTAGCTCAAGCAAAGGGACTCCTTAAGCCATCCACTTTGGTTCAATCTCAATGATCACCCATGCTAGGACCAAACAAAATTGGAGGGATCCTGTCCCTCCCCCCAGGAAGCCCTTAGCAGGGTCTCCAAAAGGTGCAGGCAGGCAAAGATCAGGAATGTTCTCCTTCATAATGCCCTGTCCATCATGGGGTCACCAGGAAAAGGAGCAAATCAGTCTATCCCCAGAATGGACTAATCTATAGGAAAACGCGCCCTCTGATCACACCCTCAGTAGCACATGCACACACAGAGACACACAGAGATCCAATTTTCCCATTTTCCAGCCATCTCAACATTGGGCAATTTTAAACTGACAGAATTTTTAAAAGCACAATATCCCAAGAGTGGGAGCTGCGCTAAAGTTGTACTGATACTGCATTCTGAAGAACACATTCTCTAATGTTGGAGGTAAGTCACCATAAGAGCACTCAGATTCAGAATGCAGTATTAACAGAACTAGACTTTGATTCAGCTTATACGTAGATAACTCTTGAAAGCAGTGGAAATCCTGGTGCTGCCTTAAACCCATCATCTGCAATCCCTTACAATACATGACAATATTTGAGACACACACACACACACCACCATGAGGTTGGCTTGTCCACAGAAATTCTGTGCTGACTGGCAACTGGCCTCTTCAGTATTTGCACACTTAAAACACCAACAGTGGAAGGTGTTACCATGACTTCATGAGATGCTGGTTTTGTGGCTCATCTCAGACAGCTCGCACCTCACCAGCTTGCC